GATGCAAGCAATCCTGATACGGATAAGCGGTCAAAAGAACATGATGTAGCCTAACAAGACAGAAATACAAGGACCAGGTGTCAGGCGTGTAAACCTGTAACATTTTAGTTATTTCATCATATATTGTGTTTTTAACGGGTAAATGTTGGGGCCAGAGTAATAGACTCTTTCAAGTTGAAGATGCCATAATGAAACACAATAGTGCAAGGGGTGCAAACAAAATGGAATTTCCTGGTGAGAATAATATATTGAATATGGCGTCCTCAAGTAAAATTGTCTAGTGTTACGCAGAGTAAATAGGTTAACTTTGAAAGTATCCAGCGTGTCAGGCTCTATCCTTGAAATAAAGCTGCCCTGCGAGCAAAGTCCTCTCCTATTTCTTCTCGGCACGGAGAAGCGAGAGAGACTCTGCAGAACTTGGGTAGAAATTCATTTGAGCATGTGCGAAGGTTGCTAAGCAACTGTCTATTTCCCAGAAGAAGATTTAATAAGTAGTTTCTGGTTTCGTTGTTTCCGGCATCAAAACCAGTTATTAAACCAGTATCAAACCTGAAATTATACATAATTATCCAAGTTTTTGGATTGTTGGCTCCACAAAGAATATACACAAGTTTTGCAGAATCTCTCTCGCTTCTCCGTGCCATGCCGAGAAGAAATATGAGACGACTTTGCTCACAGGGTAAAATAAAGCCTGCTACGGAGACAATAAATGCATATGATTCGTAGTACACACAAAATTCCCATTGGTCAGAATTAGTAGCTTTTCTTTTTAAGGTAATATCAAATTGTTGTTTACATAATGATATTCCATACTTGCTGTTGATTAACACAGTCTTTAACCATTGTTATTATTTGGTATGTAATTCCTGGCTGTTTAATTAATGAAAAATTATTGGAATATTTCTTTTTAAGATATTGGCGGAAGAGTTGTCTGTTGTCATATTTTAAAATTAGCTTTGATAATCTAATGTATCAGTTAATTCCAGCAGTTCCCATCCCCTCACCCCCGGGCCTTTGCAGCTTTTCCTAATCCAAGGGGCGGAGCTATTGCCGATATTTTTAGCCTAGCTGGGGGTGAGGATTTTGACGTTTTCCATCATGGGGGATTTGGCATATTTCTCTGGAAAAGACATTGAATTTGTTTGCAAATGGCTTGGGGGCAGCCATTTTCTTCCCTGACATGCAAGCTACCTTGAAAGGACATTTTGGCAATTTCTGTTGTGGTTACCCAGCCTGAGGCGAACGCAATAAATTGTTATAAATGTTTTGTGAAGTGCACAGATTTTTCCTGGAGTTTGGGACAAGTCTTTATTTATGGAAGAGGGAGGGGGGGGGGCAAAGGTGGGGCCATGAGTATAAATAAATGATAAAGTAGTAGTTATAATATGTAGTAGGCTAACTTCCTAACTATAGGTAGTAGTTTAATAGTTTTTAATTAATTCTTAAGGTGTAACAAGACTCACATTGATAACAGCACTTTTGTGCTGAAATGTATATATCCAGCCTGTGTAAATATTGTAAATATTCGTTATAATAATAAATAATAATAATAAGAATAATAATAATAGGGGGGGGGGGGGTATTACATTTTTTGAGAAAATTGAAGGGTCAAAATGTTGAGTTGCAATAAATTTGAATAAAATTGCTGAATCCTGGTTTCCAATGTTCTCGAAGTTGGCTTAAGCCAGATAAATCCAATGAAATCACCGTACCCAGGGTTTCTGTACTTATTGCTATCATATCTTCTGTGGAGGCTTGCAGGCTCTGGTTTCGAGATTGCTCTCAGAAGAGAACATTCTCGTCCCCAGAGCCTTTCTTACGGAGCACGACGAAGGGCTCTGGCCAAATCCACATCAAACTGGCATCTGATTGGCCACAACGAAGGTTATTGTTCTAATACCGGATATTGTTCTAATACCATGTTTTTCCGGTTTGGATTTGGCCAGAGCCCCTCGTCGCACTCTGTTGACCGCGCGTAAGAACGGTTCTGGGTACGAGAATGAAGAGAGAGCAACGAGCGCAGAAGCCCTGGGTACGAGGTTGATGATATATGGTAAGTTATTCTAATCAAGACGTGCCTTATTTTAATACCCAGCGACTAAACGCTCAACAGAGCGTCTTGTTTAGGTTTTATATTGTGTTTTTAAATTTGATATAACATAAACAAGTAGTAAAGATACATTTTTAGATTTTTATAAGTTAGATAAAAGCACACAACACACCGCTTTTAGTAAATTTGATTTACCGATCAATTGACAATTGAGTTGCGACTAAAAAAGTTTATAGCGCCTTAGCTTAGCGGTGTGTTTTGTGCTTTTATCTAACTTATAAAAATCTAATAAAAGATCACATGTTTTTGTCTGTTTTATACCGTAGGGTAAATTACAAATAAAATATTTAGAAAGAAAAGTGCCCCATCAGCCCATACTTCCCGACTCTGTTAGCCCGTATCGGTCAAGTCCGTCTCGTGCTAACCGCTAGAACGCCGTATGTTACGTTTGAGCTAGATTTCGGCTAAACTCAACGCTATCGTCAGAGGCGGTTTTCCATAGGTGGAGTTACTAACCGGTTTCGAACGAACTACGGGGGAGGGTGCCGGCGGCCCCCAGACCATTATGCCTGGCACCCTTTTCGCAAGATCCTATGATCGGTAACTACCACACATAAGTAATAGTAACGTTTCGGTATATATGTACGTAACAGTCGCCCGGTGTGGTGCATGTGGGACGCTTTAGCTCCGGTGTTTGCCGAACCTTTGAAATGAACGCATGCGCGATAATCTGACACTGGTAGACGTAGCGCATGCGTGGGCATTGTCCAATCAGAACGCAGGGAAATTTCGCGCCGGTCCCGCGAGTTCGAGACATGTGCGCGACGGCTCAGAAATTTGAAATTTTTGTACACAACCTTGTTTTTAATAGTGAAAATATTAAAGTAAATACATATTATTCACATGTATTTGCTTGTTCAAGGTAGAAATTTAAGAGTATATCTAGCTAAGGCGATAAATCGACTGGAAAAGATGGAGGCGAAGTGAAATCTACATCGTCAAATTTTATTATAAAACCAAGAAGTCGCACCGCCGTTGGTTTCTACTTTCTAGTAGTGATACAAAAGGTGAAAACCTTTATATTTTTATATCTTGTACTGTTTAGTTTTCTTTTTTGACGATAGTTGATGAGAAAATATTCTCTAAAGCTTGTTTCAATCGTCAGAGGAGGAAAGTTCATAATAGTTTAATTTCTTAATATGTCAGTTATGAATCCTATTAATAATTAACTTCCTTTAGCCTGGTATATTCTTGTATACAGGATGCACCCTTCTGGAAAGTATCTCACATTGGCTATAAAGCCTAATGCCAATCACGAAAAGGATGGCCAAGGGTCAGTATCTCAGTTATGTGATGTGTAATTTGTTGTTCTGTTAGATCACTTACATGTATCTATGTTTATATTTATATATTGTAGTTAATTTCATGTGCATGACCACATCAGCTATCTGTAAATTTACCATCGTGTTTAAATAAATGCTTTTATTATTACTGCGCTTCTTCTCTGGAAGCGTGTATATATTGTCTTGAATTGTATGATTCAGGTAGGATATATGAAATGTTTGACAGTAATATACAGTAAACCTCTGAATATAAACCCCCTTCTCTGTAACTTGTCTTTGTAGCTCTTATGGCATTGTAAGAAGTGATCGAGAACGTGTGAGCGCAGCAAGGAGACCCGCCAACGCTATATTAAAATCCACACTTTAAGAAATTTGAGCAATGTGACTCAATGGGTTAAAGTCGGTACAAGTGCACAGCACGAGTGGCGTTAGCCCTAATAAAACACAACCTGCAAGTTTATTAAACTGCTTCAAACACCACTACAAATTCAATAGATACACTGCCCTATTAGTATTCTTTATATAATTTCACATCCATTCAATATATAAATATTTATTGACAACAAATATCTTAAATATTTTTAGAATTTTCGTATTCGTTTTCCATTCTATACAAAATCTTTTCTGTCACTTCCAACTGCTGTTTCTTCTTGGCATTTTGTACAGCTATTTCATCTTTCAACACTTTTTCATATGGAATAAAATGCCCCAGTGCTTGCATGGTTAACCCAATAGGTGTACAAATGCCAGCACCGAAGAGAGCGCCTACAAGAATCCCTCGAAAACCTGAGAATAGTTTATAAACAGTTCCTGTGGTTGCTCCAGCAGCAATGTAATTCAATGCATCTTCCTTATCTCGACCAATAGACACAGCAGTGAGTGTCGTACTATATATGCCAGAGTAAAGTCCTGTTCTCCAACCCCAACGACAGCCCGTAACAATGTCTCGTTCGTCACTCGAAATAAGCTATAGTGTTGTCTTGCGTTGTGTTAACTTGTCTACGACGATAACGAGATCTAATGTAGCGTAGGTTCTTTCGATAGAATCAAGGACGATCTACACCATAGTTTGAATATGTATTATTTACACTAACACAAGCTCAAAAGCCAGTGCGAAAACTATATACAAAAAAGGTGATTATCAAATTATCCTGAATGTCCCAGTTATCCTAGTGCAAGTGTAATTCTATCCTAGTTCAATTAACTAACCGTGTTCGATATAAGAGATTAATAATGAACTGTTTATATTAGAATGCGTGCAAGATATCTATAATGTTCAAAGTACTGTCAATTCTCGACATCCTCCGGGGGGCGCGAGAGTATGGATGTCCACTGTTTCAATTTCTCCTTTGCCAATCGTGCTTTTGCTCGAACAGGTCTGCTTGACGTTTGATCTATGACGTCAGCTGGGTGAGGATTTGTTGAGGGATTCTTTGCGTCTAGGTTTTCGTCAATGGTGATCTTTGGGTTCTCTGTTGTTGTGGATTTAACTTCGAGTGGGTAAAGTTTAGTTACTGGTCTGTTCGTATGTCCAGTACTTGTTTTGATATTTGCTGCCCGTACTAGTCCGTCTTTTCCCTTGATTAAACTTTGTACAACAGCAAGTCTCCAGTTAACACGTTTCGTGTCATCGTGTACTTGAACGACATCACCAACACGTATCTCGGTTGAATTGTTTCCAGTGGTTTTATGAAATTCCCGTAAGCTCGTCAGATATTCTTGACGCCAACGTTTCCAAAAGTGTTGTATTAGGTGTGTTCTCAATTTTGCTTGGACATCAATGTTACTAGGTTCGGATTCATAGATAGGATCACGAAACTCGTCGTCTTCGTAAAGGGGGTGGGGTAAGGTGGTAATTCTCCGGCCATACAGTAGATGGGATGGTGTTAATGGTTCTGTGTCGTCTAGTTCTGATGATACGTGGGTTAACGGGCGGTCATTGAGGATTGCTTCCGTTTCGGAGGAAATTGTTTGGAGCTCTTCTAAAGTGACATTCGCCTTTCCGAGAACCCTTTTCAAGGAGTTTTTTGTCAGACCAATTAATCTTTCCCAGAAACCACCGTACCATGGTGCTCGTTTTGGGATAAATTTCCACTGGATTCCTCGTTTACTGAGATTGGTTTCCAACTCTGTTGAATTGAATAGTAGGGTCAACTCTTCCGCGGCAGATTGGTACGTTGATGCATTGTCTGACACCATAATTTTTGGTAAGGACTTGCGGCTTGCGAATCTTCGAAAGGCAGACATGAAGGTCGGAACAGTTAAATTTGTGACTACTTCGAGGTGGACTGCGCGTGTGTTTGCACAGGTGAACAAGCAGATGTAGACCTTTTCTTGTCCACGTGGCGTTTTGACGTAGATGGCCCCGGTGAAGTCTACACCGGTGACGGTAAATGGGTGGGAGTCAGTCATTCTATAGAATGGAAGTGGAGGTGGGTCAGGGGCATTGTATGGTGTTCCGAAGACCTTTCGACACGTTACACATTTGCGAAGTATTTTCTTGATGTACTGGCGAGCTGTTGGAATCCAATACTTCTGGCGTATTTGTGTCAGGGTTTGGTTTAATCCAGCGTGTTGTAGTTTCTCGTGTGCATCGTTGACAACCAGCAAGGTGAAATGGTGGTTTGGGGGTAAGAGTATGGGAAACTTTGCTGAATGTTCCACTGGTGCATTGTGAATTCTGCCACCACAACGAATGATGTTGTCTTCCAGAGTAAACAGGCGAAGTTGACGTACAAGGGGTAGACGAGAGGTTTTCGGCTTTTGTATGTTGGCAAGTTCGTTACCGTAGGCGTCGTTTTGGATTTCCCGTATCCAAACATTTCTCGCGTTTTCAACTTCGTGGACCTTTAGTGGTTTTCCCTTACATGCGTTGCCCTTTTGCAGGGTATTAACGAAGCGAAGTACCCATGCTGTAGTTCGCAGTAGTCGTTGAAGGTCACTGAATTTGGTAGGTGGAATAATCTGGGTTATGCTGGCGTTTGTAGATGTGTCGGTGACTTCGGCAGTGACTTTGCTCGTTTCTTGATCTTCGTCGAGGCAGGACTGCAGAAGAACGTTGTTAGGTTTCCATTCTGGCCAGTGGTCGTGGTTGGTTAGCCAAGGTGGGCCATGCGTCCACAAATTAGACTTGGAAAGGTCGTCTGTCGAGATTCCTCGTGTTAGGAGATCTGCTGGATTGTCAGAAGTTGGACAGTAGTTCCAGGTGGCATTGTTGGTGGCTTGGTGAATTTCTTTAACTCGGTTCTGAATAAAGCACTTCAGTTC